CTGATGGTCAAGGACTGTTGGCTCAGAACGTCTCACTCCTATCCCACCCTCACAACATAACCAGTTTAATTTACACAAGAGGAATTTAGAGTTGGCAGCAACATGACAAAAGGATGCAGCCTGTATATAAAGAGGGAGGCTTCTCCACAGATGAGATGAGAGCAAATAATTGCCAAATATTAAGACAAATAGTCTGGAGAGAGCAACAGGAGGCATTCTGTCTCACCTGAGATGCTGATAAAACCTGGAAGCCATAGGAGTGTGATCAGACTAAAAAAACTAATCACTTGCTATTTTGCAAAGATGTGTAACTCAAGATGCTTTTTCTTTTCACTTAGAAGTGATGACTAAGAAAATCTGTTGCTAAACAAGTGCCTTTTGTTTTTGTTTCCCCTTTTTGCTCTGAACAGGCAACGTAGAAGCTTGTAGGCCATGGTAGAACTAAGAAAATCAGCATGAAGCAAGCAGAAAGTTCTCCCATTCTGATGGCCCACGTCTTACACTGAGGAGAAGGATTCCCAATCCATCTATGTGTCTTTAAAATGACACAGGAGCAGATATCTAAGCACTGCTCAAGATTGTGTCAGGACATTGGGACCCAGAGACGAGTCCACTGATTCAGGCTGATGTGCAATAGGGTTGAATTTATGGAATTCACTGGTTCATCAAGGCTCACTGAAAGTGATGACTTCATAGAATTTTGGGGATTAGCAAGTAGCAACATACCAAGAAATTGATAGCTTCTGCATTATTAAGATTAATGAAAGCATTTCTTCGGACAAAGGTGTAAGCAACCTTCATTATTGTGATACAAATCCTAACTTTAAACTCCTGAGGCAGTAGTGCCCTAGAATGTACAGCGTTATATTGCTGGGGTCCCACTTGTCTCCAGATTTTTCAACAGTACTTAATTGGGCAGAGATGCTACAATGAAAAGAGCTTCCAGAAAGGTTTTACTGTTTGGGCCTTTAGCAATTGCTGTATTTTGGATGTGAACATAGATACACCAAACCCTACTTCTGGCAACATTCAGACTGCATTTACCAGTATTATGGAAAATTTAACCAAATTCATTTTAGCTGACAAATCATTCAGTCTTTCTATTCCAGACATTTCTGGGAAAGAATGGCAAAGCTGAAGTATGCTTGACCAAATGAAATACCTGATGCAAGTGGGATCTATTATCAGAGTGAAGAAAAAGAAGCAGGCTGGTGTTTTAATGAATGTTTGTTGAATGGGAAGGTAATGGCTTCTTAAACCTCCACCTTTGCCACTGCAAGGTTGTGGTTACAATCTTACTGCTTTGTTGATTGAAAGGGCAGTACGAAAAAATAAATCTGAAGTTACATAAAATTCTGGCTGAGTAATTTTCCTTGTGAAGAGATTTAGGAAAGTTTAACAACCCTGTACTGGCCCAGGCTTAGGTGAAAAGAGAGTGTATTTTTGGGATAGATTGGAGTATGCCTTGCACGGACTGTGAGTGAAAATGGTAAATGGGAGAGCTGAGATCCAAGACCTGACATCCCTCAAGCATAAGATCTCTTACTGTGCTGGAAATCAGCCTGGAATTCCTCTGCTTTTGCTTCTGCTTTTGTTGGAGTGCCAACAGCAAAAAAACTGTGACTGCTAAACTCAGGTTTCCCCTCCTGCTGCCCTACTGCTTTGACTTAGGCAGTGATGGGTACATGTTTCTAACTAGTACAGACAAATACAAATTTCCTTTAACTAATCTTCCTCTGGCAAGGTGAGTCATCGTACAGAAAAAAGCTGTTTCTGCTTGTTCTCTGTTCAGAGCACAGTCCAGTCCAAGCTCCAAAAAAGGCCAAGCCAGTAGCAACAACTCTGACCCTCTTTGTTCTCTCATTGCACCTGAGGGAAAGCTGGAGAGGCGTCTGTAGCTGCAAGCTTTCTGCAGGGAATGATCTTCCTTGGAAATTACTTTGAAAGAAGCTGGCAAGGATCCTGGCAAGAACTTAGCCTTTGCTGTCCATGTTTCCCCATCTGTCAAAACATGGCATAAGCCTTCCCTCATTCACAACATTATTGTGAGGATTCATCAGTTAACACGTTTACATCACTGAATGGGATTTCCTATTCTAAATCACCTAGACTTCAGTTCCTAGGAACACAAATGCATCTCAGCATTCTTAAAGACCTTTTCTCGTACCCAAATTCTTCTTTGCTTTCTGCTACTGCAAGACGCAGTTGATGCTAGAGTTGAACTTGAACACCTGAAAGCAATTTCTACAGTCAGACTGAATTTTCCTGAGCAATGAAGTAATCAGCAAAGGAAAAGTAATTCTTCAATTTCTGATTTTCCTTTTCATTACTGTTGGAAATGATTTATTCATCATTGTGCTTATGACTAAAATTTCTCAGGGCTTTTCTGACTCCTTGGTGTTATCATGAGAAACAATCTTAATGTATGTCATGAGGAACAATCTCAGCATATATTTATGAAACACATTTCATTTGAGAGATCTCTCAGAGGATTAATTGTGATCTAAAGTAGAGTTATCTGTAAACATAACTCCACTGCAAATACCAAATGTGTCTGTTTTGCATGCTGCTGAGTCCTACCACTTGCCACAAAAAGGCAACTGTGTCTAGAACAGAAGACAGCAGAAGACCAAAATATTTCCAGTACCTCAGACACAAAGTGTTCTACGCAACTGAAATTGCACAGGCAACCTAAGAAAGCAAAATGATCTGCAAGCATCTGTAATTAACTTCATGACATGACAAATGTATTTTTGGTAAATTTATTTTAGGATGTGAGCTACCCAGATCTGGAGGTGATGACCACAGCTGTAGTCTTGATGCTTTCTGATCACCCAAGTTATCCTCTCACACACATCCTACCCTGGCCTGTGAAACATGCCATTATTTTCTCTTTCCCTGCCACGATCCCTCTGCATCTTTCTTTCTCTCTTACTGCCTTCTACAAAGCTAAACTCCTGTTTTGTTTTATTTTGTTTTGTTTTTTTTTTTCTTCATTTCCACACACTGTAATTTCTTCCCATCTTTTTTCCCAAACTCTGAGCTACTTCTCCATCCAACTATCAAGTACTGTATGCTAACATAGGGGAAAACCCACAGTCTCACATAGGCAAAGAGAAACATGAATAACACTTCATATGAACTTTACAGAGAAAGTGCTCAAACCCTTCAACAAGGCGCCCAGCGAAACTGGAAGTTTCTGCCTTAGATTCACAGGCAGACTGAACAAGGCCCTCTGCAACCTGATATAACTCCGAAGTTAGCCCTGTTTCAAGTGGGAAAGGATTAGGTGATCTGCAAAGGTTCCTTCTCATCAAAATTATTTTGTGATTGCATAATTCTAACTTGAAGGAAAATAGGGAAAAGAAATAAAAATTTAAGAGAAAGATGGTTTTCTGGCAAGAGAAAAAAGGAACACCACAAAACAAACCAGAACCATGCTGAGTTGGTCTGCTTTTCATCTTGCCTGCACTGAAGTAATTCAGGATGAAATCAGATGAATGTTCAAATTAGCAGAGAACCAAGAAGAGAATCAATACCAACATACCTGTGGTTACTTCAGGCTTGCTTTATCTGCCTGAACTTTAGGCCATGGGAGCAGAGCAGGGGAATTCTCAAACTCTGCAGAAGTACATGTATTAGTGATTTTAATCCTCATTCCTCAATCTCCTAAATAAGTCATTATGACCGCAATTTTCGATGTAACCCATCTTCACTGTGCAGGACAACAAAGGATGATTAAACCTTTAATCAGAACAAGCACTAATTAGAAAAGTTCCTGGAGTCTTGATGAAGAAAACAGTTTTGCGTTCAAGTTTATTTCCCTATTACTGTCTTTAAAATATAGAACCCCCAAAGGTAAGCTGTTAAACTGAAAGTCAATGCAGGAGCTTGAAAATGACGGTGACCTACAGTGGGTGATCTTAATGCTGAAAATGGAATTAATTGCATGAAAATATCACAGGAATTTTTTAACACAAAAAAGGAAATCTGAAGGGCAAGCGAAATGGCCTAACAGAATATTCAGCAATTCCAAACACAACATAAAAATGTTGTGTTCTTAAGAATGTAGTGAATTTTCCCCTGACAGTGTTTTGTGAGGCTATAACAGAAACAAAAGTACCCTGGCAAGATGTGAAAATAATTCTGTATTAGTCACTTGATAAAACTGGACAAAACAGATAAGTTTTCAGGCCTGCAGGTGCTTCTTCAGTCTGAACTAGAAACTGCTATTTTCAAAGATAAATTCAGGTTAAGAACAATTGTGTCAAGGTAGGATATCTGCTTTGCTTTTGAGTGTTTACTGATTTCTTCTTTAAAGGCTTGGGAAATAAATGATGACCTGGGAAATAAATTAATAGCAATACAGTCCTGTAGATGGGTAACTATTTCTGAAGTAAGCTTACAATTAGAAAGGGACCTAGGGAGTAAAACTTATCCCAGCATATCTGCATAAAATCACATTGACTTCCCATGAGATTTGTAAGCCTTTTTGCTTATGTTCCTTTAGAAAACGCTAACTGGAGTCCTAAGTCACTTAGGTGCTTTAGATGATAGTATTTTCACTGGAAAAGGCAATAAAGAAGTGAGGGTAGTGCCTAGGAGGGGGTGCTCTTGAGTCTACTGGTTATGCACTCCAAGCAGTGGCTGTGGGAGCTGACTGTGTGCAAATCATTGTGTTTAGCAAGGTCAGGGCTTGACATGTCATACACACAGACCATAGAGGGAACTGAGCAGTGCTCTAAAGTGGCTCATCTGTAAAACATCTCTCAGGCTATTCCTAGTAATGAGGTAAATATTGTTTTCCTAATTTATCACTTCTATTTACTGAAACTGTTTGTTTTGAGAGAGGGTTGGGAAGGCAAAGAAGGAATGCAATTCTCTGTTATTGGCCATTCAGGGGTTTTGAAGGTGTTACTTTTTCAATTACCTACAACAGTTTCCTTGTTTTCACAATGAGTACATGATATCATATCCTGAGCCCTTCCCTTTTCATGCAGCTCTGCAAAGCAAGAGGAGGAGTCCGGCTCTGGCCAGCATTGCCCTGCTCAGAACACTGGAGCTGCTCCTGCCATCCCCTGCCTTCTGCTCCCCAAGGAACTGCAGCTCTGGGACAGGCTCCCTTGGCACGGTGAGTATCAGCTATGAAAGCAGACAGTCTAACTAGCTTGTGAGGTGGCACTGGAGAACGATCAGCTCTCTGTGTTTGTGTATATGTGCAGTCGGTGACACAAACACACGTGAAACGAGAACTCGCTTGCATTTTCCAACACTGAGGTGAGAAGCAAAAGCTGTTTCCTGGCCCAGCTGGAGTGAGAAAAAGGAGAGCAGAAATGAGGAGGGCTTTTGGGGTACAGGGACTGGCTTACAATAGGGGCAGAGTGCAGGAATAGGACAAGGTGCTTGCATCCTGTGAGCCAGCCTGGTGTAGGCAGACAGGAAAAAACAGCTGCTGAAATTTATGCAGAAGAAGCTTCAGAGTGAGCACGTGGCATTGTGTTAGTGCTAGATGACAAGCACCTCTTGTTTATTCTTAATCTGGTTTGCCCTAATGAATGCAGAGCTAGCTAGTAATAAATGATATATGAAGAGAACAAAAGAACCAGTCTTCTGTACTGGTCTCCACTCATCCTTGGGGCATACAGGCCAAGTAAACATATGAATAGTGAGTCAATGATTCCTTTTAATACAGCTTCATAACCCTTGCTGTTGTGCTTACTTCAGCACTTCTCCATCTTGGCCTTTTAGCTCTACAATGCAGAAAGAATGGAAGATTAAATTGTAAGGTTCTGCCACTCCTGGTGGAGGGCCCAAGGTTCTGTCTGGATATCTCCACTGTGCTGAGTAGAGATATATTAGCTATATTAAATATATATTTATGATTACAGTGTATGAGTAGCTTAGTATGTTCTGGAATTTACATTGTAGAGGTGTTATAATGAAAGCAAATGATCCACTTACATTTATATTTACTAAATGATCTTGTACAAGTTATTTCTTAATCTGGAAGATTGCTTTTTAAGGGATGGAAACCCCAAGGGGCACTTGTCCATACCAGAGTAACAAACCATCATCATTCTAGACCTTGGCGAGAAGCTTAAGATAATGGTTTACCTACAGACCTCAGTCCGTTTTGAGTGGAACCTACAGAAAGCATCAGTGATGTTTAGGAATATAAAAATAACAACAACTAGCTTTAGAAAAGTGCAAATAAGCTGCATCCTTACCCCAGACAGTCTTTGGTACAGGCAGCCTTATGAGAAACATGTGAATATATCATTGATTGCACTACACTATCCATTTCTCCTTTGCTCATTGTGGGTTTGCCTGGCTCATTTCTGGGGCCACAGAACAACAGCAGTAGAAATTGTTGCCTTGCATCACCTCAGCTGCATTGAGCTTGCCGGGAATGGAAGGTACGCAGTTCTCTTCAGTTAGAAGTTGCCGGACCCTCTTCTGTTGCAGATATATTTAATTTTGCAGCAGAACAAACTTGCTTTTTCTCACCATATTCATTATAAGAGTAAAAGGTTGTTAGGGTCATGATGCTCTGGGACTGCTGCACACAACTCTGAACTCCCTGCCTGCAGAATGGCCTGTGCCAGGTGCAGTTAAAGCCGGGTGCTCAGCTGCCCAACAGACTTCACAGCACATTTTGTTAATGCTTATCAGCTAGTAGCTGGCTTGTGCTCTGCAACACAGCTGTTTCTTAACTCTTCTGTTTCATAGAACATCACAGCAGACACTCACATTGCCATGTAATTGTTTGTTTCTTGAATTCACTGAGACCTTCATTTCAATGTTTCATGGCAGTGGGTTCAGCAACAATGTGTTTTCTCTAAGAAACGTGACTTCCTTTCTCTAGATTTAAATCTTCTGCCTTTTGCTTCTGTTAATGCAAATCTACTTCTGGATCATAAGAGAAAAAGCCACCTTAGTCTTTAATTGAAGAGAGAATCATATATTTTTCTTCTTAGTTGTAGTTTAGTCAGTGTCTAGTTTGTTTGCATGCTTTTTATTTTCAATTTATAAACTTTTCAAGGGCTTCACCCACAGTTTTTCCTGTTGCTAATTATTTTGTTGTCATGCTTAAAAAATTCAGAGATGAAAGAGAAGTGAGCTTCCTTTATAGAAACCACCCAGCTCTGCTCCTGTATCCTGTTTATAAATGTGTTTAATAATAAATTTTCCACCACCTTATATCCAAGAACTTTTAGGTATGCAGCAAACATTTAATTAATCTCACAAAGAACGTGTGAGGTAGGTTCCCTCATTTTACAGGTGAGATGGAGAGTGAGGCAGTTAAATTAAGTGACTTGACTAATATCACACTGTGAGTCAGTGCTAATGCTGAAAATAGAATTTATGTCTCCAGGTTCCCTGCCCCATGCTTTAATCATCATTTCCAGACTTGACTCTAAAGTTGAGCAAATTCCTTGAATGATTAAAATAAATATTCTCAGTTCCACGCTGGATTATTACATTTTACTTCATGTAAACAACTGAAACATTTACAAAAGTCTTCCATGCTTAGCACTTTTAGTCTTTTTTGTTCAGATGTAGCTTCAGATATCAGCTGCATATATTTTGAAAAAAAAAAAAAAAAAAAAAAAAGGAACACACTTGAAACACACTCATTGATGTGAATGCAGGAATGCTGTTGTTCATATTCTCAACAGCAGTTCCACTTAATAATATCTATAGCTTCAGTAAATGCAGCATTGTAAAGGTATTGCCCCACAGAAAGAAGAGTGGCTGCTAGTTATGCTGTCATGAGTGAATGAAAATGTAGCCTGAAGCACAAAATAGCAACTGCATCTACAGAAAAACCTGCTTAGACACGCAATTGTGAACTGTATCATCTCTGAATAAACTGGTGCATAAAGATGTACAATCCTTGAAAACTTGTTTGAACAAATAGTACCCATGTTCAGGCTAATCTCATGCTCCAACAACTTCACAGCTTTTTGAGCGCAGTCCATGCTTTTGTTTGTGTTGATGGGACATAAAATATTTTTTTCCAATCCTCAGTGTCTTAGCCATTTAATGGTATTCTTCAGCACGGGGAAGAATAAACAGCCCAGGAATATGTACCTGGGCATAAGGCAGAGGAGAGGTAAGGCCCAGGAGGGGTAACAGAGCAATACTGTCACCATCCCTTGTTTCCTATTAAAACCGAGTATGGACACAGCTGTCTTTTACACAGACTTACACAATGCTTTGTATCACTTTTGCTACATGTGAGACAAGCAGCACAAGGCTGTGGCCCGTCTCCTAGATTTCTGGAAGGACTTTTGCTGCATGTAACAAGTGGAGCATTGCTGAGCAAAGAGCCTTTCAACTTCATTGCAGTTTAATAACAAAGTACCTTAAAAATCCAACTACTTAATTTTGGAATGCAAATTACACTCCTAGGTGTTAAATCAGCTGTATTTATAGGTGTCATGCTGTATTTATAGAAACAACTCCAAAGTAGTGTGATGTATTGTAGAGAAGTGAGAGTCTCTTCCTGACTATTTAGCTGGAGTTAAGCAGAAGGTTCCAGGTAACAAGCCATGGGGATATGTTCCAGAAGGCCATCCTGTCTCCCCTCCAGGGCCATGTTGTGTTCCCTTTGGGTTTACCCTCTCTCATCATTTGGGCTCTGCTATCAGTGGTCAGATGTCACTAGTCAGTGTTGCTCCAGTTTTGCTTTCCATTTCTGTTTGAAATAAAGGTGTTTTTCTTACAGACTTTGTAGAACAGCCTGATGGAAAGGGATAAGCAGTTTGTGAAAGTATGGTGCCCATCTACCAGGCCTCAGAGATGGTGCCTCTCCAAGGGGTTGTTCAAAACTAGGCATGGATTGCCTGAATGGTCTGGTAGGAGAGACCTCTGTGACTTTCATAGACTTTGAAACCAAACCTAAAGCAATGCAAACTATTAAAAATATTTATCTGGCTGCTCACTCGTGCTCCCTTTTATCAATAATTCCTATGACTAAGCCACCAAATGTAATGGTAATAATGTCTGAGGAATGGCAAATGCAAATGAAGCATTAGCTAATATTTGGGGAAACTGAAATTCCTGAGAACAGGCTTGAAATTGCACTGTGCCTAGGTGTTCTCTTCCAGGTTGGGAATAGAAAGAAGTCTTTGTGATCTGTGTGTCTGAGCAAAACAAAACCAGTTGAAATCAAATACCTGACTTTAGACAACAAGCCAGCCTGTATGACTGAATGGACATCGTGGCATTTTGCATGTTAAGTTCATGAATCTGCTTTCAGTGAAAACCTCCATGTGCCCTGCCTATCTCAGTAATCTCATCCCTGCTCTTTAATAGGCCTATCAGCCTCCTTCTGCTGATTCAGCACAGATAGGAAACATGTTAGGAATGTCAGTTCTTTGCAGTGGTGGGGATTATACACATGGTAACAGGCGATGTTTATGAAAAATATATAACTTCTTTCTTCACTGCCCATAAGGCAGTGAGAAAGAAACTGAGGTACAGCCATACAGCAACTCTGAAGAGTTAATACCATAAATACATTACGTACACTTGCAAAACTGAGAAAGCATTTGTGGAAGTATGTTTCTTACACATTAGAACTGAAAATGGAACTGAAAAGAAAGTGAAAAGAAATGCATACTGAGGGAGTCAACCCATTTAATCACATTATAGAAATAGAATGAATGGTACAAGGCCAAAGAATGCCACAAGTGACGGAAAAAATCCACTATCAGTTACCTTAATTGGACTAATTATAAAAGGTGGAGTTAGCAATGCAGGCAAGGTACATTTTTCCAACATTCCTTATTATGTGTTAATCATGGCACTGTAAAGATCCAAATATCTTGGATCGTGTAACTTGCTAAATACCACTTGCATGTTTCTTGCTGGAGTTCAGTGCAGCGAGGCAAGTACAAGCTGAAACAGTACAAATGGGGAAGGACTTCTTTCTTTATTAAAACAAGCAGTTTCTGCTGAAACTAGTATTGCTTGAGGACCAGCTTGTGGTTCCAAGTGTCTTTCAGTGCTGACAGCTGAAGACAGTAGCTCTGGGCCAGGAGTTAATGTTTGCTCCTTGCTCTAATGGGCGGATGTGTTTAATTAACCTTTGTTTCTGCAGAAGCAGACTTTCTGGCAAGCTGTAGGAATGCTAAAGAAGGGAAATCTAAACAGCAGCAAACCCAGGCACATTCTATACATCTAGTGCGAGGTAAAGAATGCTAATGCAGACAAGTACTTACTGTTTCCTAGGAGATAGATTTGTACAAGCAATTTTTGCGAAATAAACTTAATATGGCGTTTCCTTTGGGACTTGCTCCTCTTACTTTCACAAGACCTGGCTGTGGTGCACTGCCTGTGGCACTTGTCTCCAGTGTCTGGTTAAAGACTGGGCACAGCTCTTCAACTGGGGGCTCACAAAAGTCTGTATTCAAGGAGGAAATATTCAGTGTCTCTTCCTCAGAGCAGGACCCGACAGCTGTGCTGCTTGTGCCATGTCCAGAATTGGCTTCTACTACAGCTCAAACAGATCCTTCCCAGAGTTTCCAGCAAAGAGCACTTCTTCAGGTTTATAGCTAATTTTTCAGGAGGAGTATGGTAAGTCTAATGCAAAGCAAATATGCTTTGCATAAAGTTGCTGGAGGCACTGCTTTTCATTTGTAAAACTACAGCACCATAGATTACAGTTCGTACTAATATACCACACTCCCTGGACACAATGTTCCTAGGCCCAACTCTTTGTTTTCCTAAAAATCCTCAACTTCGTGTGTTTTGCAATTGGACAAAATAGAGCTTATCTTCTCTGACCTTCACCAGTTCCACTGTCACAATAGCATTATTGTTTCCTACCTCCTCCCCTCAATAAGCAGTACCCTCCATTCTTCTCACTTCCTTTCTGGCCCAAAGCTTTCCCTCTGAGTGACTTTTTAAAGCTCTGCTTTGTCATCTATTCTTGTCAGTACTATGATCTAAATTCCAGCTTCCTTCAGTCCTGCTTGTCTCAGCGTCAGCAGCCAGGACTCTAGCTGGTTTTCTTCAAAAAGTGTCTTTTGAAGTTGAATGGTGGACATACTCTCCACTGTTGAGACCTTGCAAACAAGGTACATTCCCAGTTGATATAAACATTTAAAAGACAGTATTTTTTCTCACTAAAATTGAACAGTAGCATCACATTATCATTGCAATGATGAAAGTTCTGCCTCCATTCCTTGCTTGTCATGGGAGGAGTAGGGAAGAAGAGAGAGTGGAGCTCCTCTGCAACCTAATGCTCCACCCAAGCTCCCGCAAAACCTACAAGTATAGATGTGTGCATGGTGGGAGGGATGGAACTGTAGTCTTGAGTTGTTATTGTCATCTCAGTGGCCTGTCCTTGCACTGGGATCTGACTCATGCAGCCTGTAGGGCTTAGCTACCCTATTAGTATACTTTGTGTTGCTGCAGGTAGCACTCACTGAGATGGAATATATGGCAATACGTGCCTTTCTATTTTTTGGATTTTATTTGTCTTTTTCTTTTTTTTTTTTTTGGTCATCTATGTGTGATGCATGTACTCAATTTTTCTGAACAACTGCAGGAATTAGAAGTTATTTGCAATTGAGGAAATAATTACAGTAAGTTTGAATTCTGTATGCATACGAGCTGCAGAATCTATGGATTCATCCTGCAGGCTTTTTATTCAAGTTAACATATCCAACAGGTTCTGGGTCCTGTTTTCCTTCAGTGGAGGAGGCACAGTGGTGAAGGGAGTTGCTGACCTTGGAGCTGATAGCAAAGCTCTTTTGCTAGTGGGAATAGGTACCATTCTGAGATAGTCTAAAGAATAAAAGCCACTGGGAAGAATTATAATATTAGTTTAGTTTTAACATGACCGAAGTATGAATTACAAAAACTAAAACCTCTAGCTTAAGTACAAGTTGAAACAATTTATCTTCAGGAAAACTCTCTAAGTAAGGGACGGAGATGTAGATTCCAGCTGAAATTTTGCTTGAAGAAAAGTGCTACTGGATGTGTCCATGGCTCAGTTTCTGCACATGCAGCCAGTTAAGGTGCAGTGGAAAGGTACATTAACTTCCAGTTACCTCTCCTAATTTTGATGGATAGCAGTTAATTACATTTTTCCTCTTTGGAAGAAGTATGCATTTCTTTCTTTTGTTAATGTGTCTGATAATGGCAGGGGATTTTTCCGAGGGTAGTTTTGCAACAAAACAGTAGCTTCAGGCACTCTGTAAGAAGCCAAATACAGGGGAAGGGTGGAGTGAAGTTGCCATTTGATAATGGGAATAATCTACCAAAAGTTTCCTTATCTGTCCCCAGTACTTGTTTTTCTGAAAGAAACTGTGATGAAAAGGCAGAAGCTATTCTTCTCTGCTGTAAATTCTTTTCTGATAAGACTTCTGGATGAAATCACAATGCTATCTTCATTCAAATCCTTCATAAGATGCATTTTTTCCATAAAATGTTTCAATGCTAATCCACTAGGCGTTGCTATTTACAGCTTTAAAAGAAACAAAGTACTTAACCTGAATTGATTGTAGATTAAGAATTACTGAGTGCATGCCACATACAAAAGCCTAGTCTGTGGAAAAAGATCTATTTCCTCCTGGCAGTCGTTCTCTATACTGTGTTTTAATTTCTTGCTATTGATTGTAATCTCTACAGGAAAGGGCGTTTGTTTTTATGCACCTTTAAGGCATCATATATGTCTAACTTTATGTGGAACAGTGAAAATCAAGAAGGAAAAGAGCTAATTTTATAATACAAATTAGCCTTGCCTTGAATAGCAGTCAAACTCTACTGTCATCCCAGTGTACGTCCAGATTTGGTGCTGAAGTCACTGGAACAGAGCATGATCATGGCTCTTAGTGCAAAGAAGCAGCTACAGGGGGAGGAGGTCAGTAGTGTTACCTCTAGCAGATTAATCCCTCTTATCTTAGAACATGCGTATCTTAGAATATGCAAAGGCTAAATAACTCAGATCTTGTACTGAGGACGTGCTGCTTTGTGCTTTAAGGTAGTAATATGATTCAGAAATACAGGTATGCTCTTTAAGAGCATATAATGCAGTGACACCCAAATCAGGCGCTAATATAACTAGTGAGGACACAGCAATTCAAATAGGGTCCCAAGGCAAATGGAATCAATTCTAATCATGTGTTTATGCCAGTATTTGGGGTTGCATTAAATTCTTGTTCTACCAGCTCCGTAATTTTCTGCTGTGAGAAATTTGGGGAACTTCTATTCTGTCAAAGACTGGGTGGGTGGAGACTCTATTTCCTCTGAGTCATCAGAGGGAAAAGTCCATTGCTGCAGGAGTGAAACATGTGAGCATGACAGCTAGAATTGAAAAAATCCTCACAACTCGGAACACATGCAGTCTGTTGATATCACCTATTTCAAGTCCAACGGTGTCAGCACCATTGCATTTTACATTTGTAATTAATCTATATTCCCAAAATATTATGTTGCTATAATAATTCTCATTGTTAACAAAACTATTTTAAACACTACTCCACCGTAAGCAGAATACTCACTGCTGGTAACCTGGCAGTTATTTACAGATGATATACAACAGATTAAAAGAAAGGAATAAGATGATTACTTCAATCAGGAATAACTGGACCTACTTTTATTATTTTTATTTTTAACAGAGCGTGCAGGAATCTGGCAAGGAAGCCCTGTCTGTACAGGCAGAGGATGTTGCAGAGGCAGCAAGCTGGGAGCAGGGAAGGAAGGCAGTGCTTCCTGCTGCCTGTTAGCAAACTTGGAGGAAGGAAATCATCCTGCCTCATCATGCTAAATCAGCTAGAGAATCCCTCAAACTCAATCACAGTAAATTCATTGCTCTACCTTTTTTAAGCAGAAGGAACTCAAGTTTGTCTAGGAAAGAGAAGCAGTGATTTTGTATACAGGTGTGCAAAGCACTTCCTGAACTTCAGTCCTCCATACTGCAACTTCCTAATCTGCTCAGGGAAGCTGTGAAAGTAACCTGAGAACTTATCTGTCCTTGTTTTGTTTCCCTTTATCAAGCACTCTTGATCCATTTTCACCTCCGTATGTTACATAAGTATTTTTATTACACCCAGTAAAATTCTCCAGCTGAAAATTACTTTCTTTTAAGCTGAATGACTGCTATGTTCCATTTGTTAACTGATGAAATTCAGCTACATCCAGTGTGGTGATCACCCTGTATAGCACAGTTTAAACAATGGCCCGTCTTCCGCAGAATCACCATATCCCCTAAGCTAAAGCCACTGACCTGGAGCGGAACGTCCCAATTCAGTCACTTGCATCTTGTCCAGAAGCTGTCAGTTCCACAGGCAGTTTTTGAAATAGCAGTATTTTCATGAACTAACCACTTCTAACCAGAGTCTGTTGTTTTAAACGCTTATTAGTAGATTATGTTGTCTTACAGCACTTAGACAAATTTACACAAATGACAGCTTACACAGATTTAAAGTTGTCATCCCCAAGGGGCAGCTCTACACACAAGTTATTAGCAGCAATGTTAAATTACAAAAACACTTGTAAAAGTTTTGTTAAATAATGTTACACTGGAATTTGCTCAAACCAATGTATATAATGAAGTCATACAGACTAGAGTAAATTAAAACAAGAACAAAACCAACAAAACAAAACCTTAGAAAGGAAAAACATACAAAAAAGGTTGCTGGTGTTAGGCTGAATTCTCAGCCTGTTTCATTACTATTATTATTACTATGCATCAAGGAATTTCCAGGCAAATTTCTCTCTCTTTTGTGTTTATAATTCCAACCATTACTTTCTTAATTCTCATATTCTTTACTAAGATTTTCCCTCTTAAAACTTTTTTAGGCTATGCTATTTCTGCTCAGATTTGAATCAGCAAAGCAGAATGTTTCCTGCCCTTGGAAGGGTGAATCCATACTGGATATTAGGAGCCTGTGTCAGCACTAACAGGATGCAGACCAGGAAGCTATGAACAACTAGAACAAGAGGGGTGATGTTTTGGCAGAATTGGAATGAAATGTTTGTATATAGGAACAGAATAAGTACTGGAACTAAAATATTCTCTATACAATGAAAATAAGGCTCTCAGCAAACTAGTTTGGTCGATATGGAAGTAATCAAAAGGTTAGGAAAAAATGGTTAAGAATTGAGAATATGAAGAATTACATCCTGCAGTAGCACACCACTGGTACTCTGATGGCAAGTCAGTGGTCAAAAAGTCTGGAGTCTAACAAAAATGGAGCTAGAATTAATATTGGTCAATTAGCATACAAATGGACTTGAACTCTACTGGAATGCAAAGCGTTACTCTAAGGGAGCTAACAGAGTATATTGACCAAAATACAAGTAGGAACTTGCCCTGTAGTGTGGATCTAAATAAGACCAGAGGTAGTCACAAGTGTGGTGCCATCTAATGTGTGGTGGCTCTGAAAGCTGCTCACCATTTCCTAGGTCTGGACTAGCATGCATTCCTACCTCTTCTGGCACCTGATAGTATTTAAAAATGGCAGCTTTGATATATCACGATTAATATCACATTAAAAAAGCAGGAAAATACAAATCAGCTAAGTGTAAGGTGAACTGAATTTTCCCATCTCTTCCTGAACTAAAAGCTTCTCGAATTATCCCCAGAAAGCCCCTAAGAAAAGCCACAAGGTAACTGTTGCTGAGCCTTCAGTGCTGGGAAGTCCAGGGAGCCCAGCTGATCGAAACAAAGAATTCTTTACATGCTAATCAAAAGAGAGATTCAGCAGGTGGCCACATTGCTTAGGCTCTGTGAAAAGAAACTGAAAAGTGAGAACAAGATCAAAATGAATGTAACATGGACATGACATGACTATTGCGTTTTGCATTTGACAGAATGGATATCTTCAGGCACAATGGCCAAATCCATAATATTTTTGCTTTCCAAAGAACATGAAAGGCTGCCTTTTCTTGAAAGGAAAATTTCATCTGCCATGAGACTACAATAATAATATCTCAGGCTTACTCTATATAAAGATCTTTTCTAAATTTACAAGAAAATAACTTGTTTGATTAAAACATTTGCAAAAAAACAAAAAACAAAAAACAAACAAACAAAAAAAACCAACAACAAACAAAACAAATACTTTGGATCAAATGGCTTCACAGCCTTTTAACAGTAACTGTTACAGAACAAATGTTAGCTACCATTCTCTTTGGAGAAACAACCTTTGGCAAAAGGACTCTGGGGCATGTAGCACCTTAAGCCTTTACAGTCAGATTCAGTAAGACTCTCAGACCTCTTCTCTGAATCTGTGCTAGGTTCAGTGGAAAGCTGATAGGAAATAATTTATGAACTGGGCATCTTGTAAATCCTGCTCTTCTCCATAAATTGAAAGAGGGATGGAAGGAGAGAGTAGCAGACTTTTCTTCCAAATCACAGGAAGAAGGCACATCCCTTCTATCAGAGGTCTCAAGGGATACAGTATCTATACAGCATGTAGGGAGCCAGACATCAGTTGCCTTCTCCTTTAAGGTGGTTGGAGCTCTTATCAAGGAGGAAAATATCCCAAGCATCTAAAGCCAAAGATAAAGCCCTTGTCTGTGCTAGGCAAGGGATGTATTTAGTCCTTCTTGCTGAAGCTGATTCAGCTTGCATGAAATAATATTCACTAAACCAGGAGGGTAGAAGCAAGAATGATTTAATCTAATGATTAGAGCACACACTGAATAGTCCCTGCTCTCATAAAAGCGTAGCAATTTATACTGACTGCGCTGCTGGCATCTGCACCTGCACAGTTCTAGTTTAAATGGCCAGGCTTAGATTATCTGCATTGCCCATCTTTAATAACTTACGGTGACCCATATGAGAGTCTAAACTCAAAACTTGCAGACTTAAGACTTCTATTGATCTGCAGAAAGGAAAAAAACCATTATTTTCCTCCCTATATATATATATGCATATACAATGTATATACAGTTACCACTTGTTACCTACAAGAAACCATTTCTTGAAGGGACCTTACTTCCTTTTTTTTTCTCAGTTCAAGTGATGATGATCACCGTGATTCAATATGAAGTTGATTTTTACACTGGAGAAACTGTCCTGAGACCAACAATCTGACCATTTCCAGAACAGTTTATATCTGAATCAAATATCATTTGGCATTTTGCAGATGTTTTCACAGTCATGAATTGCTATGGTAGAAAAAAAAATACTGGGAAAAGCAGATTTCGTATGTCTTATGACCTGGCTATAATTTCATTTTAAATGTTGAAGAACATTGCATAAAAGAGGAAATCCTTATAAAGGGACAACAAGGGTTATAAAGGGAATAAAGTGATGTGAGTCGGATCAAATTCATTTTCTTTTGCTGAAAGTCTAATTGGGAGAAAAAAAAAAAAAAAAAAAGAAGAAACTAAAGGTCTACTGTTGCTCTTCAAGAAATTCAGCATGAGGTTGAAATTCATGCCTGAATGAAGAGAAGCAATTTTGAAAAGTCAGATGTTTGATTTATTGTGCTCTGAAAGGTTTTGTAAAGCTTTTTACTGAAGATATCAAAGTTATACAAAAGTGTTCTGTATGATTAAGGGCAATCATGATTCCCTTAGAAGATATAGACACTGTTTGGGCTTGTTCCTTATTTACTGTAAATTTCTTTTTTTTTTCATCTGAATAGATGGAGCTTCTTAAAAGAATTTGTTCAAGACTTGCATTAAAGATTCACAGTCTGTACAGCCGTAGCACAGATGCAGATTTGCAGTGTATGATATACGTGGATTCTGCTGTCATCTATGATAATGACAAATCAAGCAAACAAGATTTGAGAAAGCCAAAATACAGCTCCATTCAATAAAATGATCAAAAAAAACAGCCAAAAAGAGCCATTCGTTCACCATTCTGCTCTAGGGCAGAAAGCTTGTAACACAGCTTGTAAAGTCTTAAAACACAGCCCTGTAATGTGAAAAAACACACAACAACAAGAGAACAACAAAAAAACAAGTTTGAGCAAATGTTCACTGCTGTACAGCAGTAAATATCAGATGAATGAAGGATTCCAGTCATTTCAAGACTAGATGAGGTAGAAGGGTGGGCGGATTTGCTTGTGAATCCCCAGTGCAGTTCTCTGTGCTGTAAATCACTGCAGCTCCAATGACATTTGGGAAAAAGCAGGATTTCTGGCCATAAACGTGACTTCAGATGTGTGTGATCGCAGTGGCTTCAACTTTTAAATTATACATATATATTGACTCAAAAGTTCTTTTCTCCATACATTGTGCCTTCCCTTGCTCACATTATCTACAATATCAGATGTTTTAAATCAGAACTTCCAGGCTCTTGCTAATTATTTCAGGTTTTAATTTAATGTGATGCTTTTGCTTTATTTTCATGCTTTTCCAGAGATGAACCATAACGCAATCACAAAACCTGGGGGCTGAAGAAATGCTTCAGCTGTGGGCTTACAGTGCCTAATGTAGTCCCATACTTATACCTTGGCCAAAGTACATTTCTACAGCAGACTCAGGGCCCCAGAAACCAGTATAGCTCCTCCCAAGCTTTTTCAAAGGAATATGAAGCTTAACACAAATAGCATCAGAATAATAAGACATCAATAATGCATTATTTGCAATGTATTCATTTTTGATTCACAATGCACTTATTAGTGAGTTAAAAGACTGCATATCAATTGAACCATTAATTAGTTGAAGGGTAAATTGTTACTACTGACTTAATTACTTTCTAGCAAATAGTCTTTTCTTAAAAAGTTAATATCTGATTCTTTTGACAGATCCTAAACATGCAGCAATGTTGACTGAAAAGATAAAAGACAATACAGGAGCCGGGAGGTTATCCAGATGAGATATAGGGTGTGCTTATTTTGAAATTACTTTCCTTAATCTTCTAATGTAAAGCACATGGTACTCTGATCAAAAATAAGATGAGGAAAAGAAAGGAGGGGCTGTTTGTAGACTCTATTGGATTATAAACCACAAGGAATTTATCTTTCCTAGAAGAGAGGAATGCTGCGTAAAATAATACACAAACATTCAGCTCAACAGGGAGAACCTTACTCACCATAGCAATATTATCGCATCGCTGCGTTATGTTCTTAGCAAGCCATGCAACTGAGAATCTAGTAATGCAAAGCAATATGATCCTTACACATCGTATTTGTAGGACACACGAACGTCCTTAGAATGTCTGCTGACTGAACAGATTCATGCAGGTTTCCTACAATCACCACTGCATCCACTTTTTTTGAGACTTTTACTTCTGGGTATAAATACAACAGCTAAGGAACAATGCAGTGTTATAATGTGTTTTTCTATGAATAAAGAATCTGTAGCAGAGTGCAGCTACAGAGAAATTTTGGTAGGCGAAATCTGTAGCCATTTGTTTTACCATCAAAACTATTTTGAACAGTACTTGGATTTCCAAAAGAGATTTCCCATTCAAGTTCACATTCAGACCTTCTTTAATTTCACAAAGTTGTGCTGTAAGTGCAAGAAACTTGGTCACAGTTGGTTAATTCCATAAAAGATAGCACAGATAAAATGCTATTGTAACAGTAACTATATTAAAAATTCAGGTCTCATAGATTGTAAGTAGTTTGGGAAACAAAAATTCTAGTGCCACGTAAGTGGAAAGGTAGCATTGAGACTCCTGAATATTTACAATAGATGTTCCAAGTAAACACTGAAAGGAGAAAGCTGCATTAATAAGAACAAAGATAGCAGATTAATTGTTAAAGACCTTTATTGCATAAGAATACATTTTGTTTTAATTCATAGAAGAACATTTTAACCTCATTCTAAGTTTGGTAAATTAAGTTAGAGACTGCAAACAGAAGCAAGTACTTAAGAAAAAAACCT